TCGGCATTCAGTATTCACAGAAAAACTTAAAAAAATGTGATTTACCATTGGGACAGTAATAGCACGCTGATGTTAAACACTTATGAACTGCTGAAATGGGTTCTGAGTATTTAACAGCACACAGTATGCAACTCAAAAGATGCTTGTTATGGCAATAGAAAGAATTAGTGTTTACCCTTTATTAGAAATGCCTGAGAAGAGGTAGCTCAGTATTACCGGGCAGATACTGATCTTAAAGGATGGCTCAATCTGCTCTACACCCTTACGTTTCCTTAAGGAAGAGAACACTAAAAAGACACTCGTGTATCTTCATTGCTGGTTCTGGCTCCTACAACAGTCACACCCATGCAGAACACCAACCAGCCGGTAGCTGGTCTGGTTGCCATTTCATACAACAGAAGAACATTAAAAAAATTTGTAATTAGCCACTTAGATCTTTAGTTCTTTAGTTATCTAGATCAAAAACTGTATCAAAGTCAACTTGGCCTTGAAATACATTCAGCTTTAAAACAAGTCTCACTGTTCAGACTCAACAAGAAAAATATGCTAACTCTGGATACTGCCTTTTATAGTCGCACTTCGTCAGAAGAACGTATGAAGAGCTGTAACAAATCAAGCCACTGACACACAGGAGCTGCTTAATGACAAAACAAATCAGTCCCTCAAATCCAGCATCCTTTGTCCTACAGTGACCTACACACAACAACTCAAAAAAGAAGGAAAAAAAAAAGCGCAGGGTCACTTCAGGGAAGCAGTCAGCTGTATGGAGTTGCACATCAGGCAATTTCTTTACTGGCCCAGTAACGATCAGCTCATGCCCCAAAGCACAACAAACTCTTTATAGTCTATAAAGCTTCCCATGTTACCAACCACAAAATTATCCAGTTACTAAAATCCAACCACTCTGTCACTAATTACATTGTGGTTGCAACTATAATGAGGGACCTGTACAACACAGCATTCTGCTGTCTCTCAATCCTACTGTAAGGAACAGGATATTTCCCTGTGAATACCATTAATAGTTCATCCCCATCAAATCTTCCCTGCCCCGCCCCCCGGCCCTTGAAAGCATTCTACCTACATGGTACTTAATAAAACGGGGAGACACCACCACCCAGCCATTAATACCTAGAACTTGCACCATACAGTTAGTAATTACTGACAGCGAACTCCTTGGAAAGTCAGTCTGATTGATCAATCAATTAAACCCCATTTCTCCTAAGCTACAGAGGCACAAGATAGTCCTGAGTTTGAGGAACATCTCTTGCCCCATCACCTGGCCTGACCTGGGTTGCCAAAGGACACTGCAATCACACCTCCGTCACAAGGCAGGTCTGGCCAGCCAACACTTCCCCTTGTTGCTAAGCAGAAAGGCTGTGGTTAAAGCGCTTGTCTGGGATTGGTGAGGTCTCTGCTCAGTTCCAGGCTGTGCTATAGATCAAGTGTGCAAACCTTGAGCAGCGTTACTTAGTCTCAGTTCCCTCATCTCATAAATGGAGATGCCTCTCATCCTTTTCCTCGCCTGTTTAGACTGGAAGTTCTCCCGTAACATATTCACACCCGGCGTCTGGCATGCTGGCTTACCCAGGTAATAAAGACGATGAGAGTGCGGGCTGGACTCTTCTGTTTTCCGGACAAACTGGAAATCATGGGGAGCTTTGTTCACTATCATGCCCGAATACTTCCTGCTGCTGTGAATAATGTCACGCAGCCCATCCCAAGAATGCTTTTGCACCTGGAATTGGGAAGGCACATCCTCCATCTCGACCACTTCAGAACTGTCTGATAGCGTGTCCACTGCAGTCATCCTCTCTTCCCCTTCAGAACTGGACAAAAAACTGAGGGAGGAGTTGAGGGAGAGAATTAAGCCTTAAAATCAAGCAGGCATATTTTGTTGCTTAGACAAAGCTCTAAGCATGCAACAAGCTTAAGAGAACAGGCACTCCTTAAACTATAGATCCTAGGATTCTCTGCACTCAAAGATTACATTTTAAACACACATCAATGTATTGAAAGGAAAAGTCCATCTCCCATCCCATATTGAGTCCCGTAAACGAAGATACTAACCTCAGAAGACTCACTCTCCCAGGACTAGTTCCAGAAACAAGCTGTTAAAAGAAGTACAAGCAGCAGATTCTGGTGCAGAAAACAATCAGCTTGACTCAAAGGAAAAACACCCCAGGAATTTGGACGGATAAGTCATCAAAGCTATGACCTATTGTAAAGGCACATAAACTTCTGCCCTGGAAGACCACAAAAGTGAAGTCCCCTTCCTGCCCTACAGGAAAGCCTGTTCATCACTTAGAGAAGTTTAAGCCCAAGCACAGCACCTCACTTACCTGAAGAGCTACTGCAGCCAGGAATGAAGTAGGAGAGATGGCAAAACAGGAAGAAAACAGTGCAAGTCTCTTTGCTAACAGAAGGAAGACAGCAGTAACAGACCCTGGTCGTATGCCCCAACATGCGGCACGCATTCCTCATACATTTCCAAGCTAGCAGTTATTGAATGAGAGTCTACAAAAAACACCTCCACATGCAACGACAGCAAACGTTAATTTGAGGAGAGGTGGACTAACAGACTTGCCCAAGGTTAATGATGTAATCTATTGCAAAGCAGGAATGAGCCTAGGACTAGGGAAACCAGTTTCTGTCACCCCATTTGGAAAGCTGGATTCCTCTCCTTGAGGACATTTTAGTTGTTTTGGGGGTATCCAGAAGAATGTTACAAAGAATTTCAGAAGAACCCTGAAAAATTAGGCCACAGAAGTTTGCTCTATGAGACAGAATCGCTACCTTTGACACAGCATCAAGAGGCAAACCAGTGACTAAGGATCACACCAAAAAAGCCCTTGTCCTCAGCAGCCCCGAAATTTACATTTTCAAATGAGATGTTTCTTGAGTGTCCCCTGTCATGCAGGGCAGTGACCTGCATTCTGACAGGAGAGCAGCTTCTGAGATGAAGGGTTAAGCAAGAATTACACATAAACCAAATCTCAAAGACTTCAGCCTCAGTAAGATGCATGAGTTCTTTCATGACGCAGAGAGAATCAGGGGGAAAAAGAGAAGGATTTTTATATCACAAGAAAACACTCACCTCTGCCCATTTTCTACCATGAGTATTTTTCAAGACAACCCCACGTGTTCCTGAAAGATTCCCCACCAGCTTGTACCTTCTAACAAACTAAAAGGAAGTTCTCACCTAGTTCGACATCTTGTGCAATTATGGCAGGAGATGAGCAAACCTAAACCAATGTACATCTGGACTTCCTTAAACTACAGGCACATGGTACAAGGTCTGTAAATACAACCACATCTTCAACTGCTAAGTCCCTAACTTGTACAAAATGTGCGAATAATAACACAAGAACAGGGTCCTGAAATAAATCTGTAGGTACTCCTGGTACCTATTGCCCAGCAATAAATCCACAGCTTGAACATGAATAGAGAGGAGTATTTTCCAATCAAAGCCAGGCAGGAAGCCCAAGTAAAACCACAAAAGAGAATGTGACGGGATGTTCTAAGACTGTGTGTCTGTGGCCTCTACTGTCTATATCCAGGGTCTTCATTACTGCAACTAAAATCACATCCGAAGGCAGAAGGGTCGTCTATCAGAAACACATGACAGGAAGACCAGAAAACTCCATAAATTGGCACAATTCTCTCAACCCAATCCCACTGCAGATCAAGTCAGTCAATTAAAATAATCTGGCTTTGGCTCAAAATGCCTGACCCTTAGGTTACTCTCACTCAGCTGATGAAACTGTCTTACCCAGCCAGCTTGACTTCTGACAAGGAAAAGTTGCACCTTTACAGGCTCAAAACAGTCCACAAATGTAATACTGGTAACTGTCCCAAACTGAACTGGAGGCTGCAGCCCTTTCCAAACGATACTGCCATGATTTTATGATTCACTAAGGAAGCGAAAGGCACAACTTTCAGCTTGGTACTGTTCTCATCCTGGTGATTTTGACACTATGAACAGAGTGGAATAGTGGGATAAGCAAAGTAGCCATCACACAAAGTTACATGAAAGCATTGGGAAATACCACTATCATAGCTGGAGTGTGGTGGAGCCTGGCAAAACTTAGGTCCTGACCTGATACAGAGTAAAAAGAAAATCCAATTGCTTCATCTGTCACTACAGCCATCTCTTGGACAAAATGTAGCAAGTATTTGGCAACACCACATATGTAAGTAAGCAAGTATAGGGAGTAATTTACCTAACTGAATTGCAGAGTGAATTTGAGGATTAAATTATTCAAAGATTAATTGGATCAAGGCACCAATTTTAACCACCTTATTCTTAGACTGTCTTGAAACTTCGGCATCAATATAGCGCATCTAAGATTTACACCTTACTGGAAAAACACTGTCCTTTACAGTCCTCACACTGAGGCATTGATTTAGATGATTCAGTATTGTTGCAGAAGCACTCCCCAAAACATCTAGCTATCCCTTGGAGGTCTTTTTCATGCTTTTTCTGCCCTGCCTGGCCAGGTTAGATGGATCAGGCACACATCCACCAAGCCCTCCCTTCAAGGGGAACACGTTAGTCTGAAAACAACAAGCAAGCACAGGTGGGACATCAGCGCAGGGAAAAAATTGTAAACCATGGAATTGGAAGTCAGTGAAACAAGTTATCTTCCTGAGTCACTTCCTGACCCACAGATCCTGACACAGAGCTCCCCGGGCAGAATTATATATTTGGGATTCTTCACAAACCTCATTGACTCCAAGAAGTGCTTATTGCTCTGTCCCACACAATCTAAAGGTCAATAAAGGCCCTGGGAGTAACCGGGACACATACCTTCTCCAACTTCCTGCAGTCTCGTTTTCCAGACGAACCCTCTTTATCTTCTGCATTAACTACTCAGCAAGCTGGGCAGGACAGGAAACTAGGGAGGAAGAGGGAAAAAGCAAATTTCATATAGTTTCTCCCGTCATATGAATAAGGCTGTATAAAAGCATCCTCCATAAGGCACATTTCCAACTGAGCGTGGACGCACAAACAAAATCCTTGGTTTGCACTTTACAGTCCAAATCTGTTCTGCCAGCACATGCTGGATATTAACAGCCCAGATAAATCTGAGGGGTATTTCTTCACCTGAACAATGGGACTCAATGAACTCTGTGGCTTGCCTCGTTCCTTCCTCCAAAAATCTTCTTAAAATCTGAGAATCCTCAGTACCGACCCTTCCTTTCATTCCCCTCCCCAAGTCCTGAAATTCTCTGAAGTATTGGGTACTAAGAACTGAGAAAACAGAGGTCTGGTCCATACACTTACAGGCAAGAGTCAAACAAAGGACACCATAAGGAGCCAGGCAGAGGGTCAGCAGCCCCACTACCAACAGCGTCACAGTCCCACCTGGGACATAAAAACCCCATTTGTCTTCCCAGCCAGACTGCTGCTTCCCTCTGCCTCAGCCTGATGCCACGTTCACCACACAAGCTCATTTTCCACAGGGAAAAGAAGGCGCTACCTTCACTATCATCCTTTCTACCCGAGTACACTAAAGTACAAAGATCTTTGTCTCCTCTTCAAGAGAGCTCTGAATCACAAACACACCCGAAACCTGCCACTATCTTTTGCCAAGGCCCCTGGTCTGCCCAAACAGCCATTTCTCCACCAAAACCGCACTCACAGAGGATCAGGAGAGACAAAGCGTCACAAAGAAGCGCCAGCAATGAAGTTCCTAATCTGCAGAGGAGGACAGAGAGGGATGAAGTAGCAGTATCCAGTAATTTAAAGGCAATTTTCAATGCAAGCACAAAGGGCAACAGGAGCGATGCTCAGGAATGCTGAGTAACCTGGTCTGATCTCACAGCTGACCCTGCTTTGAGCCGGGGGTTGGACCAGAGACTTCCCGAGGTCCCTTCCAATCTCAGTTATTCTGTGAATTTAATGATTCAGGGGAACACCTCACCCTCATCCCACCCGCCACAGCTCACACGTTTCACAGAGGAAAAGAACACTTTAACATCTTTCGATGCTGAACCCAGGGAAAAAGAAACTGAACAAAACAGACAGGAGAGATCAGAAGCCTGGCATGAATCATGACGCTCATTTGTCAGCGAGACCCTGAGGGGCCTGCTGGTGCATTCAGGAAGCGCCGAAGCAACACAGTCACCTAGAGAAGCCCTTACAAATGTGTCCCTGTCACAGCCGGAAGCTTTAAGCCCACCTTCTCCAAAAATAAAAGCAACTGAGGGTGGAATAAACGGGTGGGGATTTCTCTACAGAGGGACGAGCTTTGGCAAAGGCTGCCAGCAGCCCGTGTCCACCCCTGCAGGCC